ATATTTTCTTCGAAAATTGTCCGGAGTCACCCCGGTTGACGGTAATCATCATGATCATGGATATAAATATTGTAAATTTAAATTTGTTTTTTTATGTTATTATTTTATTTTGCATTATGTGTTCTTAAATTTTGTTACTTTTTATGTCAAATTTAATTAAATGGTGTTATAGGAACCATCTAAACCAAGTTAGATACTCACTATATATAACTGAAATTATGACCAATAAAATTAATTATAATCTAGTTGAGCTGAAAAGGTTACTAAATATGTTTTGCAAGACAGTTATAAAAAGATTTACTAACTTTTTTTTTTTATTCGCTCCCAACAAGGCTGTAAGCAACCACTATTAAGTTGGGAGTTACTAGGAAAAAAAGAACAAAGCTATAGAGCAAGGAAACGGTTTACAGAACACTTGAAGTTGAAAAGTTGAAGGTTGTATGAGTCAGGAAAACATGAAAATGGGAGAGAGTTCCAATGGATTGAAGTGCGTGCAAAAAAACTAGATAAATAAAAGTTTTTAGAGCATGCAGGGATAGATACAGTAAACGAATGAGAACGTGACAGGAATGTTGTCTGAATCATAAGCTGTAGACGAGTTTATATGAGATATGACTTTAGCAATGGAAGCCGGAGTGATTTGAATGTCTAACAATGGGTCAACCTGTTTGACTGGAATGGAAGGAAGAGAATGGCCATAAGATTCAAGAGTGGAATTAGAAGAAAAGTTCTTTGCAAATAGTTCTGCCTTATCCTTGGGAGAGGTAATAAGATCAGTCCCATGAATGAGAGATGGAATGTTAGATCTACCCTTGTTAATAATGCTGTTGAAGATTTTTCAAAAGTCTTTAGAGCCTAACTTTTGTGATAAGATGCGAGTTTTAGTGAACTGAGAATAATGGAGTTTAGCATCAGAAAGCACCTTTTTACATCAATTTCTTGCAATAATAAATAGCCGTTTATTGTCAAGAGAGTTGTTCTTTTGAAAAAGATAAAAAAATGATTATGATTAGATATAGCAGCTGCACAAGAAGGAGAAAACCATGGGGTAGAATGAGGCTTGACTTGAAACCAACGAGAAGGAATAAAAGCTTCCGTTCCAGCCTGAATCCAGGAGGTTATGTAGGAGGCGCATTTATCAGCTGAGAGAGAAAAAACATCAGCCCAAGGACCATCAAGAAGAAAATCACGAAAAGAATCCCATTCAGCTTTAGGTTAGCAGTAGGTGGTGCAATGGTATAGTGAGCCCAAAAAAAAGTTACGAGAGGAAAGATTTATAGATATCATTGCATGGTCAGAACCACCTAAGGGAGAAAAGGGAGAAAGTGAACATAAGCTAGGGTCAGATACAAGACATAAGTCAAGGAGTGAAGGTAAATGATTAGGGTTGTCAGGAAAATGAGTCACAAAGTTAACTATCTGAGTAAGAGATTGAGAAACGCAGAAGGTAAAGGCTTTAGTGCCAGCAGGATCAGTGGTGTTAGAGCCAAGCCATTCAGTGTGATGGGCATTAAAATCACCAACAACAACAATATTGGCAGAAGTGTAAAGTGAGAAGGCATGGTCAATTTGATCAGAGATAACATCTAAAAGAGTGCAATCATGGGAAGAAGGAGAGCGATAAAGAACAAAGAGAAAGGTGATAGAGTGAAGAGGTGCTAGGCGAAAGCACATAAAAGAATGGTCAAAGGATTTGAACCTGATTTCACGACAAATAAGGGAATTAATGCGTATGTATACCCCCAAACCTAGCATGTGACTATTGGAGTCTTTGCGAATCAAAGGATAGTACCCATCAACACTGACATCTGAAGAAGGAATTGCAGAGTTTAAATTTCTCTTACTGAGAGCAAGCAAGTCTGGTAAATTTTGTAGGAGGTAAGATTCAACCCATCGAAAGTTGCTTCACAGATCACGAATATTTGTAAAAGATATATCAAAACAGTTTGGTGGTGGGGATGGTTTTTTAAGTTTAAAATTTTGGGTTACTTTAGTCATGATTTGAGTTTATTTATTTAACTAATATTTTTTAATTGGTTTGAGTAATGTGATATTTTTTGAGTTCATCGTAATTGTATTAATTTTATTTATACTTTGTTTTTATTAAATGTGATTCAAAACTAATGCTAATGGAAAATAAGTAAATATTTAAACAAATATTCCTTATTGCTATTATTTCTCAACAATTACCTACATATTGCTAGTAATTCCTAATATCTTCTTATCATTGTTTATTTTTTAGAGTGCATAATGTTGAAATGTGATTTAATTTTGTAAATTTTGATGATTAAAATTTACTTTTTTGATCATAAATCAACAGTCGAGGAAAGAAGATTTGATTCAACGTTAACATGGTCAAAATGGTTTAAAACAAAGTTTCAGGTAATAATTATTATTTATTCTAATGTCTTATTGCACAAATTGAATCAAGCAAAGCCTAATAATAGAGAGCTGCTGAACAGTGTTTTTAGTTGACAAATTGCTAATACTGTCGCCCACAATGAAACCCTTAAGGTTTGTCTGTTTTCAAACCCTAAAGTAAAGTTTTAAACTAATATATTCCTCACATAGTGTTGCTTTTTAAAGTTAGGCAAAAGTATATATATATATTCATCATTATCATTTTTTAAAATTTTTTTTTTCAGGTAAATAACATCATAACATACATGCAGAAATCATTTTATACCTGATTATGTCTTGATTTTGATAAAACATGTAAAAAAAGTTTTAAAAAGATTCTTTATAATTATCTTTAGACTTGTGGCAAATCGAAAATACAAATGTCAACATTCCAAACTAAATAAGAAAACTATATCAAAGAAAAATACCTGCTGTCTTGCTGAAATCGATGTTAAAATTAAAAAAGTCAATTCAAACACTAAAAAAAATGATACTCATCTTAACTCATCTTACTCATCTCATCCTTGTGGAGTTATACTAATTAAAAAAAACCATAATCATAACATTGAATGTGCTGATTCAATGAAGTACTTGCAAGTATCTTTAGATACAAAAGAACATTTTTACAATTATTTTGATAGTGGATTAACTCCAGCACAAGCGAAACGCATGCATGCAGATAGTTTTATATATAATGAAAATGGCCCGTTTCTCTTAGCTGATGCCTCTCTGAATCCTTCACAGCGTACAATATACTATTTATACAGCCTATGGCAAGAAAAACATTTTGCTATTAAAAGCCCTGTAGAGTTGATAAAAAATAAAAGAAGCATATATCAAGAATCAGGTAAAATGATACAAGAGTTGTAAATATATACCAGTTTGATATACAATTGATGTTTTTTTTTTAAATTATATTTTTCATAATAAATTAAATAAATCATAAATTTAAAAGAATTATTAGATATTACCCAAAAAAAGTCTACATATTTATAGGTTTTTTTTAACATGGGTTAATCCATATCAAATCACCTAGTTTTTTGAAAGTTCCCCAGGGTACCATCTCAGATTTGCTTTAAATTTTGACCACGCACAGATCTTATTATTTTTTTTTTTAAGTTGATTAAGGTGCCCCAAGAAGTCCTTATGGTCTTATCACAGAGCGCCGCGGAAGAGCATTTAATGGGAAGTTCACCCCTCCTTCCCAACCGATGTCGCAAAACTTGCCCAGAGGTGGGGTTTGAACCACGGATCTTACGTTTCTGAGGCAAGCGTGCTACCACTGCGCCAAGGCTGCTTATGAAATAAATACAATCCAGAAAATTTCAGCTTGATTGACCAATTTGTTCTAAAGTTATGATTGAATTAAAAATGACCAAAATCAGAAAAATTTGTGTATCAGGAGCTTACAGCAGTTTTTTTCAATTTTTGACAAACCATAACTTTTTAAATTAAGATGGTGATCACCTGAAATTTTGTAGGGTAATAGTTTTTCACCCAAATAATCCTTTATTGCAGTTGTTTTTGACTGATTTTTTACAGTTTTTGAGTTATTGTACCTTAAAGTTGCTAAATATTGCAACATTATAAATATTTTTTCGAACTTTAACATGTTACTGTTTAATACTTACTTACAGAAAGTAGATTTTTTTGTTACCTTTGTGTACTTAGGGTCACCACTTGTTAGAACAATCAAAATTTTGCATTAAAAATTAATTTAGCACATGCAGCAGCCTATTAAAAAAACTTTTTTTTTTAAATTATGATAAATTACATCGACTTTGCTGGCGTAGAAAGTAGCGTAGACAGTTGAAATAAATCATAAAACTTTTTAATGTTGAGGTTCTATATATAGACAATCACCAAAAAAAATTTAAAGAACTATACTCTATCTTATGACATGATTGTAGCCTTCTGAGAGGGATGATATTTTCAAAAGGAAAACAAAAAAATACCACAAAAAATACCACCACATACAAAATTTATACCTCAAATTTTATACAAACTATACTGTAAAAAAGTGCATTCAAAGAGTAAGATAATCAGTTAAAAGAAAATGTATGTATACATGAAACTAATTAGCTTATCTCTGATTTATATAACTCATAATACTGTCATTACTAGCAAGAATATAGTCACGAGCACTTATACTTTTAATCAATGGAACACTTATTTGATATATTATCTTGTCAAATGGAACCCAACACTGACTTGATCGTGCATCGTTTGTCCATTTTAAATTTAATTTGTTTCTTTGCATAAACTTCACATTAACGTCTTGGTTTTCATTACAAATATCAACCACAAGCCCTATGTAGCATTCTTCATCGTAAAAGCATGCAATATATTTACCGGGTTGAAAATTTGAAGGATTTTTTAATCAAATTAACATGATTTAACACATCATAGACAGTATCACTAGAGATTCTTCGTAAAAACAATTTCTCTCCATCTGGTACAAAACAGTGATAGCTTTTTGTTCCCGGAACTGTGCGCATTACTTCATATCGTTTCTGAAGGTTAAAAGTTGTTTCATGGTTATTGATAACACCACTTGAAAGATAAAATATATTAACACCTTTTATATTTTTTTGAGCCCATGTAAACAGATCTTGTGGTGTGAGAATCTGATTTGTAATTGCTGCTCGTAGACTAGCTTTTGCTGCTTCTCTTTTTATAGTACCTCCTATTCCATTTTGCCATGTGACGTAGCAAAGAAGTGATGCTCAGCATTTAGTTGGTGATCTACAATGTGATAAATTAAGTTTATTAGATATTTGTAGTTTTTATACTGTGACGCAGCACCATCACTGAAGTATTTAACTTTGATTTGTTTTGATTTTGACCATAGGGAGCAACTTTATGAGAAAACAATAGACTGCTGATTGGTCATGACAAAGATGGTCAGAAATTAAACAATAGCATTCACATTTAAGGTGATCTTTTTCATCTTTGTAATAAGCAGCAAATGGGTGTAAGGTAGCTTAATCGGCTTGCCAGTAAAACCCTTGTATAGCATATTGTACAAGAAAACTATAGTTTTCTGCAAAATCCATTAGAATAATGCAGGTATATTATATATCTAATGTTTGTTTTGCCTCTGATAAGTAGAAAGACTGTGCTTCTTTGATAAAGTGGTGGTGACAAAGGTCATACAAAGTTTCACTTTAAGTTTCAATAAATTCACTAATGCTTGTTTGGACTGTAATAAGTGCAGTTCAATCAGTTGACACCCATTGTTTATACGTTATCTGATCATCAAAATCAAAATCATTCTTTTCAAACACATTTTCCAAGTAAGTCTTCAAATTTATTTTACCCGGGCAGTTGGAACATAGATGAAACATGCAGTTTCGACTATCTATATTACAAACACATACTTTCATTAAATCTTTGTAATATATTAAATGGCTGTTAGGAAGAGCAGAGCACATCAACTTAGCATTTTGATGGTAAGAACATACACAAACTGAGCGGCTTCCATTACTATCAACAGTAAGGCACCACTTTGGCCTTAGTTCACAGAACTTGCTGAATCCAACTTTGTGTTCAGGGTATAACTTCTTAAATTCCAGATAAAGTTCTTTTAAACGAACTAATATTAAGCAATTTTGTTTATGAACTTTTACATTATTTATACGCACAGAAACAAAGTCTTTTTTTCCTGGACATTGTCTAGTGTAATCGTCAGATTCATATACTTCAATGACTCTTAGCTTAACAATATCCTCCAAAGGATGTCCTTTTTTAGCCTCAGGTTTAGCAAGTGTTCCCTTTTCATTTTTTAACTTTCTGGCTTTCTTAACAAGATGGTCTGAAACTGAAAATGCATCGCAAGTTTTTTTAATTGACCAACTATCAGGAGTTCAAGTTAGTAACTGAACTTTTTTTTCATTCAAACTGATTTTTCCTTTTTCCTTTATTGAATCTAAAAGTTTGTCTAAATCATTACATTTAATGCACTTTTGCTTTTTCTCAGATATTATTTCTTTTGGGTCTATATCCAATGCTGATGCTACTAGGTTTGTCATACTTGTTTCCAGTTTTTTAACTTTTTGCTTTCCATATTCTAATTTGTCACGTTTACTTACATTTTTTAGAGGAGATATTTCCATTAAAGAAGCACTCTTATTTAAAACTGTCTTATTTAGGTCTGAAGAAATAAACTCCTCATCATCAACATCTTTGTCTTCATCTTTTTGACTAAATTTTCCTGTAATATGTTCAAGTTTGAATTCATTCAAACAGTTAGTGCAAAGTTTTTTACCAGGTTTGATCTTAAGTTGACTTGCTGTTAAAATATTGACTTTACACAATCCCTTAATAATTTTTTTCTTGTGGACTTTAAACGGATCACAGCAGTATTTTTGAAGCGCTTCATATCTAGAAATATAGGCTTTTTCATGGTGAAAACATATCTCCTCATTTAGTTCAAAAGTGTGTCCAATTCTTTGAATTAAAACTTCAACATCTGTGTTCACAATATCTTTTAGTTTTATTCTTCCAATCATTCTACAATAATACGTTTTGTCGCAATCTTCATTTAAAACTTTGCCCAGACATAATTTCTCTGTCATTTTTTACTTTTTTTTAATTTTTATTACTAATCTAAAAAGTTTAAAAAAGACATAAACATATTAAATCTCAAAGAACTAACAAATATCAGAAACTGGTAATTACACTGATTATGTCCTTATTATTAGTACAAATTAAAACATTATGTCATTAAAAAGAAAACTGAATATATTCATTCACAGATAAATAAAAAGTATACTTATACTGTCATCCCTATGACTAATTATTAGACTATGACTTAAGGCTAGCTCATAGTCTAATAACATTCTCCTTTTGAAAATATCATCCCACTCAGAAGGCTACAATCATGTCATAAGATAGAGTATAGTTCTTTAAACTTTTTTTGGTGATTATCTATATATAGAACCTCAACATTAAAAAGTTTTATGATTTATTTCAACTGTCTACGCTACTTTCTACGCTAGCAAAGTCGATGTAATTTATCATGATTTAAAAAAAAAGTGATTTTTTAGTAGGCAGCTGCATGTGCTAAATTAATTTTTAATGCAAAATTTTGATTATTCTAACAAGAGGTAACCCTAAGTACACAAAGGTAACAAAAAAATCTACTTTCTGTAAGTAAGTAATAAACTGTAACACGTTAAAGTTCGAAAAAATATTTATAATATTGCAATATTTAGCAACTTTAAGGTACAATAACTCAAAAACTGTAAAAAATCAGTCAAAAACAACTGCAATAAGGGATTATTTGGGTGAAAAACTATTACCCTACAAAATTTCAGGTGATCACCATCTTAATTTAAAAAGTTATGGTTTGTCAAAAATCGAAAAAAACTGCTGTAAGCTCCTGATACACAAATTTTTCGGATTTTGGTCATTTTTAATTCAATCATAACTTTAGAACAAATTGGTCAATCAAGCTGAAATTTTCTGGATTGTATTTTTTTTCATAAGATCTGTGTGTGGTCAAAATTTAATGCAAATCTGAGGTGGTACCCTGGGAGCCTTTAGGTGATTTGATATAGAATAACAGACATGCAAAATAATTATAAATTATTTGGAGTAAATTAGTTTAACTTGAGTAAAATGTCTTTTAAAACAAGCATGGAAATGATGTGAACAATGGTAATTTTAATGTAGGTGCTTTAGTGTCTGTAATTGAAGCAGAAGCAAAATGGTTTGTACTAATTGTAACTGATGTGATGAAAAGAAATCAGACAAGAAAATCTTCTTCAGAAATTGTGTTTGTCAACACTACTTCTTCTTGTGATATTTCACAAACAAATGTTACAGCCATCTCTACATGTAGTCCTGCAGGTAGTATACCCATTGCTATTTTATTACATGCAAACAAAACAGAAGAGAACTATGAACAAGCTTTTAAACTTTTAAAATCTGAATGTCCAACATGTTTCGGGGGATATCAGGTATTATAAAGTTTATACATGATGAAATGTTTGAATTTGAGTTTATTTTACTTTTTTAATATATAAGGTTTGTAAACTATTGTTGCAGGAACCGCAAGTTTTCATGTTAGATGATTCCAGTCAAGAAAAAATTGGCTTAAGTTCTGTATGGCCGACAGCGAAAATGCTGTTATGCTATTTTCTTGTTTTACAAGCGCAATGGCGTTGGTTACTTCAAAAAGTTGTAAAAACAGATAGGCAAAGGCTTTACTTATTGTTTAAAAATGTAAATTTAAATATTACTTCACCTATATATATATATATATATATATATATATATATATATATATATATATATATATATATATATATATATATATATATATATATATATATATATATATATATATATATATATATATATATAAATGACTGGTTAAATTCTTTTATGAAACGAAACAATATTTCTGGGAGAAATGCTTCAAATATTAAACGATCGAGATCAAAGTTAGGAGTAGAAATGATAAATAATTTTTTTGATGAATTTGAAAGAACTTATGAATCTCTTGGTGGTATTCAACCTTCAAACATATTTAACTTCGATGAGACAAACCTTTCAGATGATCCTGGAAAAAAGTTTGTTTTAGTTCGAAGAGGAAGACGACGAGTGGAAAACGTTCAAGAACATAGTAAAACTTCTATATCTCTTATGTGGTGTGGCTCTGCTTCAGGAGTACTACAACCACCTATAGTAGTTTATAGAGCATCGAACGTTTATAAAGGTTGGGTAACAGGAGGGCCATAGGGAACAATATACAGTTGCACAAAATCAGGTTGGTTTGATATGGAGACATTTGCCAAGTGGTTTGAAAAATGCTTCTTGCCGAACGTTCAGAATTTAAATGGACCCAAGCTTCTTTTAGGAGATAACTTGGCCTCTCATTTTAATCCAGACGTTATTAAACTTGCTAAGGAGCATAATGTTTACTTTGCTATGTTGCCACCAAATGCCACACATTTAATGCAGCCATTAGATGTATCTGTCTTTGGTCCAATGAAGCGTTGTTGGAAACATGTATTATATGAGTGGAGAAAACAAAGCAGAAAAACTGGATGCTTTCCCAAAGAACATTTTCCAGCTCTATTAAAAAGTTTATCACTTAAGTTGCAAGACACAGTGTGTCAGAATTTGGTTTCTGGCTTTATTACATGCGGACTTTATCCAATAAACCGTATAAAGGTTTTAAAAAGAATTCCTGAATACAAGGAACCTGGTACATCAACAGCATCCCTTTTAAACGATTCGGTTACAACTTTGCTAATGTATCATCGTGGTGCATGTGAAACAAAAAAACCCAGGGGCAATAAGTTGAACATTGCATCTGGGGCAGTTTTAAATATCGTTGAAGATATTGAAACTGATCTTTGTTTCATCTGTGGAAAAGATGATAATGACGAAAACGATGAAATCAGTGAAGAAGAAGAAATTTTAATTGATTGGACTGGTTGTGAACGTTGTGGTCGTTGGTATCATTCAAAGTGTTTGGAAAATGCCATGTCGACTGATTGCATTGTATGCCCAAAACTATAAATTTTATTAAATTTTTTTAAAAGATAATGATTTGTATATGATTTACTTTTACAGTTGTCAATAATTTAAACAAAATAAGAAAGATTAGTAATTGATTCTTCATAATTAATCATTGTAGTTGTATCATTATTATATGTATATTTGAAATAGTTTATCAATAGTTGTTGTTTTTTGTTTTGTTATTTGAAATAAAAAATTAATTGCTTAATTAAAAATTAAAAAAATTTAATTAAGCAGCTTTTTTACATAGTTATACATTCATTTTAAAACTCTTGATGTTGAAATTTCAACTTTTAAAATCTCAAGCTTCAAGTGTCCGTAATCACCCCATTTCCCGATTTTTATTTTTTGATTTTTAAACCGTTTTTTTATGCTAATAACATATTGGAAAGCTGAAAGCCAAAATTTCTTCACGTTCTTTATAATTACAGTGGTACGTTCCACAAAAATATTTCCATTTTGTATTGATTTTAATGAAACAGTTTAATATTTTCTTCGAAAATTGTCCGGAGTCACCCCGGTTGACGGTAATCATCATGATCATGGATATAAATATTGTAAATTTAAATTTGTTTTTTTATGTTATTATTTTATTTTGCATTATGTGTTCTTAAATTTTGTTACTTTTTATGTCAAATTTAATTAAATGGTGTTATAGGAACCATCTAAACCAAGTTAGATACTCACTATATATAACTGAAATTATGACCAATAAAATTAATTATAATCTAGTTGAGCTGAAAAGGTTACTAAATATGTTTTGCAAGACAGTTATAAAAAGATTTACTAACTTTTTTTTTTTATTCGCTCCCAACAAGGCTGTAAGCAACCACTATTAAGTTGGGAGTTACTAGGAAAAAAAGAACAAAGCTATAGAGCAAGGAAACGGTTTACAGAACACTTGAAGTTGAAAAGTTGAAGGTTGTATGAGTCAGGAAAACATGAAAATGGGAGAGAGTTCCAATGGATTGAAGTGCGTGCAAAAAAACTAGATAAATAAAAGTTTTTAGAGCATGCAGGGATAGATACAGTAAACGAATGAGAACGTGACAGGAATGTTGTCTGAATCATAAGCTGTAGACGAGTTTATATGAGATATGACTTTAGCAATGGAAGCCGGAGTGATTTGAATGTCTAACAATGGGTCAACCTGTTTGACTGGAATGGAAGGAAGAGAATGGCCATAAGATTCAAGAGTGGAATTAGAAGAAAAGTTCTTTGCAAATAGTTCTGCCTTATCCTTGGGAGAGGTAATAAGATCAGTCCCATGAATGAGAGATGGAATGTTAGATCTACCCTTGTTAATAATGCTGTTGAAGATTTTTCAAAAGTCTTTAGAGCCTAACTTTTGTGATAAGATGCGAGTTTTAGTGAACTGAGAATAATGGAGTTTAGCATCAGAAAGCACCTTTTTACATCAATTTCTTGCAATAATAAATAGCCGTTTATTGTCAAGAGAGTTGTTCTTTTGAAAAAGATAAAAAAATGATTATGATTAGATATAGCAGCTGCACAAGAAGGAGAAAACCATGGGGTAGAATGAGGCTTGACTTGAAACCAACGAGAAGGAATAAAAGCTTCCGTTCCAGCCTGAATCCAGGAGGTTATGTAGGAGGCGCATTTATCAGCTGAGAGAGAAAAAACATCAGCCCAAGGACCATCAAGAAGAAAATCACGAAAAGAATCCCATTCAGCTTTAGGTTAGCAGTAGGTGGTGCAATGGTATAGTGAGCCCAAAAAAAAGTTACGAGAGGAAAGATTTATAGATATCATTGCATGGTCAGAACCACCTAAGGGAGAAAAGGGAGAAAGTGAACATAAGCTAGGGTCAGATACAAGACATAAGTCAAGGAGTGAAGGTAAATGATTAGGGTTGTCAGGAAAATGAGTCACAAAGTTAACTATCTGAGTAAGAGATTGAGAAACGCAGAAGGTAAAGGCTTTAGTGCCAGCAGGATCAGTGGTGTTAGAGCCAAGCCATTCAGTGTGATGGGCATTAAAATCACCAACAACAACAATATTGGCAGAAGTGTAAAGTGAGAAGGCATGGTCAATTTGATC